CTGTTTTTAGAAACTTATGCAATGTATTCAAATTCTTATGTCATTTGTTTTCAAAACAGCAAGGTCCATTGAATTCGAAAAATTCCAGAGCTATTTTTTTAACTGATGTGTTCATCTTTGATACATCTAATGATGAGTCACTCAAAATTTCATGTTTGATTATTTCTACATACTGCAGATAACATTACATTAGTTTTTAAAATTCAAAAGTTAGTGAACGTAATCTACAAAATGAGTATTTACAAACTCATACAAACCAAGAGCGCTTCCATTAACTCGGTCAGACCGTCAGAACGGTCAAATTGTTTAATGAAACGTTTGGTCTTTGGACCATCTGACCGAAAAATGTTGATAAAATTAGAACGAGGTCCATTTTCGCTATATATTTGGGAAACATATACCATGTCTTTCCAGTTTCTATTGATACAGAGACAAGAATTCGGGTCTGACGGATCATGATCGATCAGGCCATTAAATGGAAAGCGCCCCAAATTCGTGGGCATAATTGGATTTGAAACAATCGGCTTTGCCTATATCTATTATATACAAACATAACATGTACTGTTTAATAAACGAGTAGGAGTGTTTTATTATCACATATAAAACACGACGCGTAGCGGAGTGTTTTATATGTGATAAAACACGACTACAAGTGCTTTAAATATAGCTTCAAAAACGACTCATCTTATACGAGTTCATTGGCGAAGTAATTTTTAAAATAAAGTTTGTCTAAACCGAGAAAATCAAAGATAAAGTTTATGTAAATTAACGTGATTTTTTATCACATATAAAACCACGACACGCTTATGATTTTTCTGTGTTTTGCTCCTGAATTATTAATGAGTTTTTGAAGTACTGATAAAGATATTGGGTATATCACTTTAATAGAATAATAAACCTTTGTGTGGAACTATATTGCAAGAACCCTCATGTTTTGGACCCTCTCAGAAAAGTGTTGATCTTACCAAGCAATCGCACAATAAGGTAACCTATATCATGCACAACCTTTTTTTAAGATTTAGTTATTAAAACCACCGTCTGCATTATTAAGGATTTATATTATTAATTATTAGAAGTGTAATACATGTGACAATTATCTACCATGCCTCTTTATCTAGCAGTGCCAATGGCGGACACTAACTAACTAGCTGCGTAACAAATTGCATGTAACTATAATTTTTAACCATGCATAGAAACGTTGGTATAGGCAAAAATTAAACTATATATTCAAAGCAAAAAAAGTTTGAAGTACTATGTATAAGACTTTCAGTAATAGAATTTGATATTTTGCATGGCAGCCTAAATTCGCCCCATCATTGCCTCTATATTCCGAATATTTGGCTTTCAGTTCATTTTTTGCATATTCGTATATTATGTATTAATGTTAATATTTTCTTGTAATAGGTTCTATAAAAACAAAGTCAAACAAAAACCTGGATGGGACTGGAATATGTTGCTTTGGTGTCTAGACGAAGCTAAAAAGAACAATTTACAGGAGCAAGATTATTGGAGTGGTTTGATCTTAGATGAAATGAAAATCCAGGTAAGATTTAAAACACGAAAATTGAGAATACATATTATATCTAGTCCGAGGCAAATTCCGCCGCCGCGAGGAGTGTAAGTATAAATTTTCCCAAAAATGGTTGTATTGTTATTTAGAAACGTTATTCCCACATTGTTATCCCGTTTCAAAAGCCCCTCTCTTTGTACGAATAGCAAAGGCACAAGTCGAGCATCGCCATCGTAAGCGCAAGAATTATATATAGAGTATCTGAAATGCCATTTCCTAGTCTTTGGGGGAAGATTTGACACGGATTTCTGATGGCCAGAAAACAACATAACATAACATATCAAAATTGATTTTCTCGTGTATTTATTGACTTGCCGACATTTCGTGTGTATGTGTGTGTGTGTGTGTGTGTGTTTGTGTGTGTTTGTGTGTGTGTGTGGGGGGGGGGGGTGTCACAGCCCCGCACATTCCCCAGTCGTGACGGTCCTGACAACTGACATTGAAAGTGAAATGTTGAATATTGCTATTTTCTGGACCAGGAAAACATTGAAATGGTTGTAAAAGATGGTAAGCATACATTGGTTGGGATCGCAGACCTTGGAGAAATTCACGATAACATGACCAAAATTTCAGGTTAGCTTTTTAATATAGTTGGGGATGTTTTCGCTCTTTACTTTGATTTCATTTAAAATGAATACAATACCCATGCATGTGAAATGCATTCATGCGACTCATATTTGCAAATGCAATTCGATTGGGTTCTCCATAAATTGTAATTGAAACCTGAAGAGTATAGCGAGCAAACACACGTCTGATATTTCCTCGTGAACGAACGGACTCTAATTCTAACTAATAAATTTATTTATGAGATTTATAAGCACACATTTTGTCTAGGTAAAGATGGTGAAGTACCTAAATTGGCCTCTCATGTCCTGCAGTTTATTTTTCTTGGAGACAATGGATTTAGATTTCCAGTAGCCCAATTTCCATCTGGTGGATGTACCGCAAGTTCTCTCTTTCACATCTTCTGGGATGGAGTTCGAATGATGGGGGAAATAGGATTTCAGTGAGTGGTTATAATTTATTCTGTCAGTTAAATATTGAATAAAAAGTTAAGTTTTTCCTCCAACAAAATTTTAGCTTTGATATTTGTTTCTTTTCCTGACCATAGTATCTACTGGTGTATTCTTGATGGTGCTGATATCAACCGGCAATTTATTAAAATTCATTTCAAAAGTGAAGAAGAAGCTGCTACCAATCACTTTATTGCACATAACATATATACCGGCTGCCCAATGGTCTTTATTATGGATCCCAAGGTTTGAACTAAATTTATATAGCTTGTTATCACAGACTTCGTCGGCATGCAACTGATCTCAATTGGGCCGGGTTACTTGTGTAAGGTAATAATTCGCACAGTAACCCTCATTGAGATGCATGAAGACAATCAGTCAAATTCAACTTATTATTCTTGTATTTGGCAGAATGTATCATGCACGCAGTCAAACATAAGAAACTCCAAAAAGAAGCAAACATTTTTTAAATATTTTCACTTCTATACTTTGTAGCACAATTTCAAAAAGATCCGTAACAACATTCTTAAAAGTTCTTTGGCGACTACAACACCAAGATGTTTAACCGTAAATGGAAAACGCATATTGTGGAATCAATTTGTGGATGCATACAATTACGACCAACGCGAGTTTTCGTTGTCATTCCACGAGAAACTCACAGAAGAACACTTCAACCTAGACGCATCTTCAAAAATGAGAAATCATTTAGCTGAAGATGTTCTGGACAAGAGAATGTTTTCTCTGATGAAGGTAAAATAAGTTGCATTGTCATATAGTATGTCATATAGTAATTCAAAAAGTTGATTATTTATATATTATGTACTTTTTTACTTTTTAATATAATAAATCTTTACTCTATACAGGCGTACAAGAAATATCTTGACAACAAAGGTCAAGATGGAAGTTCTCTTGATTCTACAATCAATCTTTTGATGCATACTGCTAATGCGATCAGTTTATTTCAAGATAAACTTGTAATCACAAGTGCAAGTGACAAACGAATAAAGGAGCTCAAGCAACTGTTGACGTTTATGCAATCATGGAAAGATAATTTGGCACTTTCAGATAAAGGATCAATACAATCAAACGAGTTTATTTCATATAAATTATGGTTTGACATCCAGTCGATGATATTGGGTTTTGATTCTTTAGTAAAAATCAAACTCGAAGCGTATCCACACTCAGTTATAAAGCCAGCTATAGTCAACCAAGATGCTGTAGAGAACCATTTTTGTCAAGTGAGAGCATGTAATGGACAAAACAATAACCCTACTTGGCGCTTACAAGAGTCAGCACAAAATTCAATTCGGTATGGGCAAACAACGATTAGTCGAAAAAGTAATGCTGGATCTAGTCGTTAGAAATGTACACGTGCCATAGATACAGTCTTATATAATTAATTATATAACTAATTATATAATAGTATTTTATTCAACAACACTCATTCATGCTCAGGTAATTAAGACATGGCGATAAATATTGTTCCCCAGCGAACTACGCCAAGATGGAACGCTTGGAACGGTATTTTTGTACATATACGAGCCACGCGAATCAGAAGGGTAGGTGGGGTGGGCCTTTTTCCCAAACTGTTCACTTAAGAGGGAACTAAGCAAAAGTGACCAAACCAACAGATCCGTTCAATTTATACTATTCCTTCATATGTATGCAGGGCCGCCGAGAGGGGGGCAGGGGGGGACTTGCACCGGGCCCCGAGGTGCTGGGGTCCCCTGAAAATTTTTTGTTGGGCCCCAGTCTTTTTTGTGTATTAAACATTTCCGCGCAAAGGACAAGATATCTGTTTTTTGGGCTAAGTACCGAAATTTGGCATGAAAAATTGAGATAAAGTCCCTGGAAAGTAATTGCAACGTACTCGTCCGGAAAATTTTTTTTACCTAAAAAGTTGTCGTGTTTCCCCTGATTAATCTTATATAACTTTTGCATATCATTACGAGTGTTGTGAATAGTGCAAGAGTGGCTTTTATATAATATAGTCTGTATATATATGTATATATCAATTTCTGTTAAAATATCCAATTTTTAATGCTACAAATTTACTTTATTGGCTATTCACTATATATATATTGTGTTACTATTTGGTCAATCCTTAATTCAGGCTTTAAAATAGATTTGACTAAGCTTGAGACTTTAAAATATACTTGATACCAATAATCCAATATGACGAAAGTGAAAGTATTCGATGCATTAAAAATATATAATGTTTTAACTGGAATTAAGTTGAACTGTTAACAAAATTATTTAATGTCAATTAATTCTATCTGGACCTCGTAGACATAATACTAACACCATGCATGTATTAAATAATTCAATTAAACATTACACATTGTCTAAAAATCTTCGATTTGGAATTTGTGCATGCGATTGGATCTCAGGAATTAGTTTTTTAACCATGTTCACCTTCGTTGTTTTTGAATTAATTGAGCCAACACCATAAGCACGGCACAACACTAGCAATTCTTTCTTGTTATAGGCTTTTACAAACGCGGGTTCATCATATTTTCGTACGAAATCTTGGAGCTGTTGGTGCGACTTTCTCTTTTCAGGACTATCATCTTCCTTTATATGTGAAAAGGGGATAGATGCCCTCTTCTCTTCCAAAGCTTTTTTCTTCTGCAGCACTTTTTTTCTGTGTTCTGTCGTTTTCTCTATTCTTTTCGAGCATAAATTAAAAATTATACGCTATAAAACACTTTTAAGAGCGAAGTCTAGTATAGTACAACGATATCCATGGAAACAAATCATATTCATATACCATTTAACAATTAGTCACCGAAGGCGAGGTGATTACAAGCCTGCATATATTCACTGCGCCAAAGGCGAAGTGAATATATATAACCTTGTAATAACCGAGCCTGAGGCAACTAATTGTTTTAATATAATTCCAGTATTGAAAAAGTTTTATTTATAAATACAACTAATACACGTGTTTATTTTATTAATGTTGTTTGCATAAATAATTTACTTCCATCTGATTTTCATCATTTTTTTTAAAGGAATAGTTACTGCTCAGAGCGGTATGAGCAGTGACTATTGTCTCAGGTCAGAGTTACTGCTGAGGGAGTGAATCAGAATGCTCAAAGGCCATTTTTTCAATACTGAAATTATAATAAATATAAGCTACATATTTGTATATTATTACTTGTGCGCTCTGATGAAATCTCTGAAGTACTGGCCAGCACCCATTCTAACATATTTCTCTATCACCATCGTCATAATCTTGATGATGATATTCTTAAAAAAAAATGAAAATACGTATGATACTAATTACTAGTGATATACTATTCTCAAATATGCTTTTGCCTTTTCAATACATATTTCGAAACGTAGATACACGGCAAATTTTTATGTATGAAAATGGATAAGATCGTTTTGACTGTAAAAACTGTAACAATAAATATAGTTTAAGGCGACCAACGGACCACATGCAACATTTCACGAAATATTGAGAAGGGGGTATGTTTTATTCATTTACTTATATACAGGGGCGATATAAACCTTTTTTATGTAAGAAACATTTTAGGGGGTATTTCCCCCCAGTTTGGATATCTTCAAAATATGCATTTTCGGGGTGAGATTTTGCAGCATTAGCTTTTTTGTAATGCGTCAATTAAAATTTAGATACCCACCTTTTTTTCCTCAATTGTTTTTAATGAAAAACATGATATCCACTTCTCTTGCAATACTTCACAGTCAGACAGTGTTGTAATTGCCTGATCGATAAGGTTCGCTTTCAGTTCTTTCAATTTGGTATCGTTGATGTTCTGAACTCTTGAAACTTCAAGTTCTATGATAAACTCGTATGCTTGGTCTTTGATATGGGACAATCCGCGATTTCTATACTGCCTATCTTCAGTTACTTCTAATGTTTCAGAATAGGACGTTGTTTCCTTTAGTTTCGCGTAATCAGCAATTAAATTGTCCTCTATCAAACAGCACATTTCTAAACGATCATTGACAGACTTAAGTGTACTTGGCACTACGGTGCCCAAGTTGTCTTTGACATACTTTCTCTGGTTTGAGAGCACTTTCTTGATGGCCCAAGCACCAACGTGACGAATTTTTGCAAGACCTTCGGATGACATATTTCTTACATCTATTGGAACCATCTGCGGGACATGTTGTTGTTTAAATCTTGCTGCAGCCTGAACAAACGCATTATACACCTTTTGTGTAAGTTCAGCTCCAATAGCACTTTGCCCTTGCGTTAATGATTCCGTGCCAAAAATCAGTTGCAGATTTCTCAGATACTCGCTCGATCTTGTTATGAGAAGATACAACATTCGCGACTTCTCATACCATTGCCTTGATGAAATATCCATATTTTCGGGTGAATTTGAAGATTCTTTTGTTACAATTTGAAAACATTGAGACCATAGAACACTGCCAAACAGCTCAACCTGATCATTATCTTGTAAAAGGCCATCAATTGTTTCGTTCTTGCTCTTTGCCGATCCAGTAGATCTCTCAGCAACTGGCAGTGGGACTTTCATCTCTTTAAGGATTTTCTTGATATCAAAGAACTCCGGCGGGGTTGAGAGCACATGACCACCTTCCGACATCAGTGACATAGCTATATCTTCCAGATCTAAGTCATCTTCTGTGTCTTCCATCAGGTCAAAATTTTCTTCTTGGTCAGGCTCTTCTTTTCGTTCAAAGTATCCATTTACAAGCTTCTGAGTTACATCATCCATTTCTTGATTTTCTTCGTCATCTGCTCCTGCTTCATCAACTTCTTGTAATCGTTCATTTATAACAAGTTCGTTCTCGGTCAGTTCACTTTGGACACAACAGTTGTCAGCCGAAGTATCCATGGGTTTGTGTGAAGCACACACATCCAAACAATCTTGTGATGGTTTCAGCAACTGATCGGGTGAAAAATGTAAGACTTGCAAATGTTGTGACGTCTTAACTCGTGAACATGCAACGTAAATAAGGCCAGGAGTGAACTCTTTCGAACAGTGCACAACTGCAGCTGATATAGTTGAACTCTGCGACTTATGACAAGTTATACCATACGCTAGAGTGACTGGAAATTGGCGTCGAGAAGCAACCACTGCTCCGGATCGTGATTTCTTCTCCCAGGTTTCTCTTTTCAAGGACACCCTACCAACTAGGTCGAAATCAACAGCGAGATTATCTCCGTCAGTTCCAACAAACACGCCAGTTATTCCGTTCCTTAATGCTTCTGACACATTCCACAGTAACATGACTCGACAGCCCAGCTTGAGTAGAAGAGTTTTATCGGCTTGATAATCCAAATTGGCTGCATATCGTGAATGATGACAAGTGTCAATGGCATCAAATTTAAAAAGATTTTTCTCGGGCAGAGAAAAAAGCATGTTCCTATTGTGAACTTGCATCTGGAGCCTTCTAAAGAAAATGTGAACCGCATCTTTGCTAATGGAAGTTGGTAGTTCTCTTGACAAGCTATGGAGGAAATTCGTTGATTCTTCACCGCACTGCCCAATTCGTAACTCGTGTAAGCATAGAAGAAAGTCCGTTTCTGTCTTTTCCTGACGCCAAATTGTTTCCAATTCAACTCGATGCAAAAGAGCTTTCGAAAAAACTGGGGAATAAAATGCAAATGCACCTGGATCGAACATGTTATGGACGGGTGGAAGTTGAAGAAAATCGCCTGTTATGATTAATTGTTTTCCACCCATCGGTTTCATTGCATCACATTCTTTCGATAGTTTATGGTGAATCATGTTGGCTATTTCAAAAACTCGTCTGCTGACCATCCCAATTTCATCCCATATCATACAATCATGTGACTGCACTCGTTCACGTACCAAATTATTTGAAAGAGATCGATCTACGACAGCTGGCCATGGTAAATCGGCAATACCCAAACCATAAAATGAATGCACCGTGCGAACTGCTGAGTTTGTAATGTTATTGTACACCTTGCATGCAATGCCAGTTGGGCATACTATTGCTACTTTCTTCCCGCCTAACGTGAGCTTTTTATAGATTTCTTTAGCGAGATACGATTTGCCAGTACCACCTTGTCCTGTTATAAAAACATTGTGCCCGTTTACTGCTGCGTTCAAAATATTAGATTGCTCATCCGAGAGAGATAACATTTCGTGTTTTACATTGTTTATACGGCTTATGGTTGGACTGAAACTTTAATTAAAGGCTATTGAATTCACCGTTAAAAACATACATGCTTTGCTATATATTATTGTCATATTAACTTTATTTAAAAATAGATCTAATGTATTTATAGTTAATAAACGAGAGGCCGGGGGCTATTCTTGCTTTTAATGTCTTTAATGTCTTGTTTGCCGTTCGAAGAATAATATTCAATAAATTATGTCACAATTATAGCCATTATTTTATACACCAAGAAAATTATTACGGTAAAAGTATGTTTACTGTATTTCAAAATCTGTTTTGTCCACGGAATATTTATCCCACTAACATGCATATTTTACCGTACAAAAAATAACAAAAGAATTGTTGTCAAACAGCATCTTGTTAATAATATATGTCAAATTTATAAAGTACTAATAGGCCTACACATGATAATGTGCAATAAGACAAACGTATAATCGGTACAAATATCAGCAACACAGAAACATATGACTATTAAATAATTGATAAGTGACTAAGACTGAGCAGTTTCACTGTTCGATTTGATGTTCATAATTATATGAACAAGGCCGTTCTTTCAATGTCCTTTTAACGTTTATATGTGAACCACAATGAAAAACTGTTCAGTGACCATAATTTTACGCTGAAACATCATATCAAATAGGGTAAACTATCCATATTTACTAACGAAACTTCTTAATTTTTAAAGAAATAAATTTGCATGGTTTTCCCGCGACAACACGTTTGTTTTGATCCAAATCCTTACTGTCCCCCCTCCCAGTGGAGAGAAATTTGAAATTTTTGTTGATATTCGTTATCCAATCAGGTTTGAGTGTATTTTGAGTTGTTCAACGACTTCCGCTTTTTGCACAGCAAACCGGGCACGCGGATATATTTTGGCCGAATTTTGTTATTCCCTCACGGATTTCAGAGCGAATTTAAGCTATTTGATTAAAGCATCGTTGTTTTGAGAGTTATACGGTGTCATTCTTGCAGGGGATGTCGATTAATCGTGAAAGAAATGCATTAAAGGCGAAAAATCGAGGATAGTTTCGGGTGACATATGCCAAGTCTGGGCTATTTTGGTCTCAATGTCTCCGTCCTTCCCTCGTTATAAGGAAGGCACAGGCGGGCGCGGGCAAATCGAGCCTGGGCCTCCTGTGGTATTATAGGAGGACCAATCACCGAATTTTTATTTGAGTTGACCTTTCATCGAAATAAAAACCCACGCCACAGCCCACGCGGTGTTGTAAATCATACCGACAAAGTGACAAACAGATTGCGAATTGGCGGGAATTGAACGTTCTCTGTCGGCTGTCGCATATAGATATGTGTTTTAAAGTAATGAGTTCGTGTTCGTTTTAAGTTATATTTTACTATTATTAAATCACTATACATATTAATGATCAGAAATTAAGCTACATAAACAATGACATAATATGTTATGTTTCGAAAGTAGTATACTAATTCGGCGGAACATTAAGTGATATATCTACAATCGCCAGATAAATTATATCATTATATATAACATATAGGGATAAACTACCCCTTTTTTTTACGTTTCTCAAGTCAACTTAAAATTTCATAATCTATTTTTAGCATGAACGGGTTGGAACATCATCCCCCTCCCATGCCCACTGTTAACGAATCTGCACGTGCATGTGAAAACCCTTATCACGATTCTACTTGTTTTTTGTTTAATAATATCTGGCATTTCTAAGTTAAAATACTTGTTTACCGTTTAGAGTAAAACTAAACCGCAAGAAACTGCCAGCAAACCAAGCTGCAAAGAATTATTTGACGATGATGGGTAAATTCTTATTTATTTGCAACACCGATAGCTGTTTCAGATTAAATTTCAGGTTCAGATTTGACTTCCACTATCACAACCGACTACCATTGACTAATCAGTATACGCTTAATCTACGCGATTAACCAATCATATACGTAGTGAGCCAGTGAAGAGTAGGGGTATAGCGGTGCAGGAAGTTAATTCTGAACCTCTCTGAAAAAGATCTCGAGAGTAGTGAAAGAAATATAACAAAACAAACATTATTTTTCAGCTCTTTACAAAATGGCATCTACCAACTACAATCCAAGGTTTCCACAGAAAAATATCCAGTCTATTGTCACATGACTGAGATTCCCAGATGTGGGACAGGAGGCTGGACACTAGTGATGAAAACAAACGGTGATTCGGTAAGACAAAAAATGTTTTGGTTTGTCGTTGTAGAAAATATCTGAGCGACCTAGCTCCCACGTCTTTAAAAGATCATGTTTTTACAGTTGTTTATGCAATGAGAAGTACGGAGTTGCCACGAAATGGTCTCCCTTGATTTGCTAAAATCTTTTTTGTCAATGAAAGAGCTGTAACATTATTTTAAACAAGATAAAACTACAATAACTGAAACAGTTATTTTGGTCTGCATCTCTCGAAAGACTGCTACCAAGAATATTTACTTCCGGCCTTGTACAAAACCACGATCAAATGTGTACTCGAAAGACTGGAAAGAGTATTGTCTCAGTGAAGCTGACCGTCTACCGTGGTATTGTCTTGTGCACAGTAAACTCTGTAAACTCAGAAATGGCAGTAATTTGACAATTAACCTGCTCTTCAACCGAAGAAGATATTCGACTGCTCCGATTTTTTGTTGCATGCCATATATGGCATGCAACTATCATATAGCTTAAAATTCGCGTCCGTTGTCGGTGGTGGTCGAAACAAATCATGTGGAACGTGAGGTAATACGACAAATACCGAGTTATACCGACGAGCATTTACGAGCATAATAAGCATATTTGCAAAGAAAATGTTGATTGTTCGCCGAAAATTTACATAATCGAGCGCCTTAGTCTTAGAAGAATAGATCGAGGTAGGCAAAGCTTTGCTGTTTTTAATTTATCTTATATTCTGTTATGTGTTGTTATTTTCGAGCCGTTGACCGCGTTGTGCTCGCACTGATTACTTATCAGGCGTTTATTTATCAGGAGGTTTACAGTATTATTTCACGTGAAAGGCCACGCTATCAAAATACTCAATTTTATACTCAAACTGAAACGGAGCCATTGTGCTCGCACGGATTATATTGCGTACAAAACCGGCTTCAAAATAGAACTACAGTACATTTTGTAAATAACATGAAATATAAACATCAAACAAATTTCTCATTTAGAATACAATTGAAATTTAATACAACGAAATAGCAATCTACTAATTTTAATCATAGTTTAAGTACTGTTTAATAAACGAGCAGGAGTGTTTTATTAGGTTTAAAGACACGAGCGCGCAGCGCGAGTGGCTTTAGACCTAATAAAACACGACCTGCGAGTTTATTACACGGCTTCAAACACGACTATACAAATTAAATAGATATACCGCCTTATTAGTATTCTTTATATAAAAAATACTAATGAGGACACGACAACAATAGATACTGCCTTATTAGTATTCTTTATATAAAGAATACTAATTAGGAGTGTTTTATCAGGTTTAAAGCCACTGCACGTGACATGTTATAGTTTACATGATTTGCCAATAAGCTTATGAATTATTAATGAGTGTTTGAATAATTATTTTCAATCTATTATAGTAATTCACCTTTTCACTTGGTTTTATATCTTCGAAAAGTTACAATAAAGCTAAATTTGTAGGAAATAACATTTAGTTATAAATTTGTAAAGGAAATCTTACAGTCGATTGAACCTTGACCTTGTTATTGCCGTCGTTTGCAACTAAAGAATGAACAGTCGCTCATAAAAACATTGCCTATTCGCGTGTGAATCTTAAGTTTTCTTATTTTGACATAATAGTTATTTTTCAATAAATATATTGATATTAAACTTATTGAATCAATGTCTTAAGTTTCAGGCCAGTTGTATCAAAAAGTTATAAGCGCGCTAGCACATCATAACGTTTCAGATGGCATGCAACATGTACGCAGTGCGTACCTATTTTTTATTTGGATCATTAAATCAGAGATTGCTTGATAGTCAAACTTGATGTTTTCTCATTCCGTCTTCGCTCTTCGTAAACTTAACCCGTTTTCTATTTCTTAATTACACAGAATACATTTACATATGATTCACCTTTCTGGATAAACAAGGAAAGTTATGCAGTTGAAGAAGGACTTGAAGGACTAACAGAGAAAGAAAGTAAACTATCCTCTTATTGGAACACTCCTTTCAAGAAAATATGTCTTGGTATGACCGTTAATGGTGACACAAAATGGATGCTGTTAGATTACGAAGCAAGTTCGCTGTACAGTTTGATCGCAGACGCCCGATATCGAAAAACAACCGCTGGACGACCTGCATGGAAGTCTCTGATCGCAAGCTCGTCTTTGCAACCATACTGCAATGAAGAAGGTTTCAGCATTGCATATGATGCATTCAAAATACGTATTGGATATTACGCGAATAACCAAAACCGTTGCACACAGGCAGATTCAGGTATTGGATTTGGTATTACTTACACTGCTTGTTACATAACATCTCACATTACATGTGGTAATATTGCGCAGTGTGGTCAGAATGATAATGGCCATAAACTGACTGCGGCATTTGGATACATTTTAGTTCAGTAAGTGAATACAGTGTATATATAAAGTAGATTTAGAACAGTACACATTTGTGACAACGCGTAAAGCTACCTAAACATATAACTTGCTTGCAATGTGACTGTGTAGAGGTACACAGGCCAACCAAATTAGTTGACTGCAAGACAGCATTTTATCAAAAGAACTAATCATGCATGCTTATTACTGAATCTTGTGATGTTTAAATATTAATAAACCAAAGACATAAAATTTGTGCGTCTTTATGTATTTTCAACATCATGAGAAGGTCTTTGAATTTCATCGCCACCGACCCTTCTTTTTAACCGTGTTCAATTTCTATGTGGAATTATGATTATATTGCAAAATAGTGTCTTACAAAGCATTCACTAAATAGGATACAAATGTGTGTATATGTACAGTCATGTATATTTAGAAATCTGTTACCATAATAGATGTGAGCGCACAACCGTAACTTTGGTAAAACTTTTTGTTAAAACTGCATACAGATATGGCAAAGCTAGACAAGGCAGATGGTTATTTAATGATTCGCCCAACTCATTATTAATAGCTACGTGATGACCGTGATATAACTAGTTACTTTGAGCTAGGGATCTACATAAACCTTTAACATGCAGATGCTCATGTTATATATCATTTTAGTCAATTTACTTGATTCTGATTGGTTAAAAAATGTGCCGACTAAGAGCCCGCGCGCATTCCGCACGTTCAAGTGGGTTATCTTTTCATGTCACGCAATCACGAAACCTAATCCAATCCCTAACCCTAACCTCCTAACCGATCATATTTCGTGACTGCGTGACATGAAAATATAACCCTCACGGGAGTGCAGAAATTTAAACAGATATAATCTAAATAAACAACGTAAAATTGAATATTTGTATTTTATGAGCTCTTTTTATAAACTTAGCTGAGTTAGCTGTTATGAAAAAAGACAGAGGTGTTTATTATAAATTATTCACACTTTTTACATATATGAACTGAAACTTAATGTCAAAAATTACGCTTAAAATTTATCACAATGGCGCGTGCTGCTTTGATCACTGGAATACATATTTTTAAAATATAATGTTTCTTGTCATTGAGTATACCTGTAAAATTGACTAAAATACTATGGCTTGTTCTCGAAGTATTAATGAAAAATAACACTAGCGTTTGGCGAAATAGTTAGTTCGCCAAACACGCGTGCGACTTTTCATTAATACTTCAAGAACGGTGTAATTTCATATATTAATAAACGCGCACAGTTCTCAAGGTTTTAGCAAATAAAATAATGAAATAATATGGCAAATAATTTAATATCAGAACAACGAATTAAGTTACGTATTATGGATAAATTATACAATGGGCTAATTACGTATTCTGTTTACTCTGCCCGGCAAAGCAAGACAAACGTTCGCTAATTTCTCATCCAATTTTCATCCAAATTTCACCAAAATTCAATCAATTTGTCCTTGGCCAATGTCCATTAATGGCACAAATTTTCGTATTAGTACGTTTGATATTTTTGAGTTACAAACATGGATGAATACATGATGCAATTATTTCAAAGAAATCATAATTAATCATTTACATATAACATGATTAGTTGCTATGGCTGGCTTCATCACCCATGATAACATATCAACTGAACGCCTAGTCTAAGAATCATTTGGCAATTGATTTAGACAAAACATGCTTCTACTTAAAATGATACTAGCTTACGTTCAGTTTTTTGCTTTCATCTGATATGGTGTTACTATGAAACATGCTATATTTAAAAGAAAAACTGGAAAGTATTTACCAGATAGTGTGATCACAACGAAACATGCAGAAAGTGAAAGAGAGTGTTCCATGCATTGTACAAGGCTCGACGCTTGCTTGTCAGTGAATTACAAAGCTGGAGGAGTGGATCAAGGTGTATGTCAACTCAACAACAGTACAACCTCAGATAGTCTTGGACTGGTCTCCAATGATAAATTTGTGCATCTTACCCTTTTAAAGGGGGTAAGATATTTCTTTATGATATCACAAACGTATGTGTTCAGTGTATGTAATTTTCTAGTATACGTTAACGTGGTTTATATCTGAACTATATCTGAAAAGGAATAAATCCTAGATCGAGAAGGCACAGAGCACAGCCACAATGGAAGGGTCGTTAGAGGCTAAACCCAACAACATTCCCTGTGGGATGAAACCGCAGTCCCATGCAGAAAAAAAATTTCGGCAGATCATTGACTAGCATGCAAGAACCAACGATCGCATGCAAAGGTAGTTTGCGCCACCGAAACGATTCCTTGCTTCCTGTTTCCACAACATTGTGTGCAAAGATTTTTCATACAATTCAAAACGACCTTAATTAATTAAAGTCCTACATTCAAATAGACTTTCAAGGATTTCAGAGATCACTTAAGCAAACAGGACGGGAACGCGACGACGACGGCTATTCACACAATGATATTCCTGATCTCGTACAAAAGAAAAAAGCCCCACGGGAGTTAGAGACGTTGTGTTAGGGCTTTTTACAACGGCAAAACAGAGACTGTTTGTACAACGCAAACATGTCAAGACGCGACAAGTGAAACTACAAAATTACAAATTTGCTCAGCAGAAGAGTTTATAACCATAAAGTCTTTGTTTTAATCTCTTCAAACTTAACTCAATCCATATATACATGAAGTGCATAATACACAACAACTCTTCGTCTCAATAATTTATTTGAAGAACTTTGTTTTGGCTGTATCTTATACTGTCTGCACACACGCGGCCTAATGAAATATTATACAAATAACGAATGTTTCTTCGTGCAATGGTAAGAATATTTTCATGAGGTGAAAGATGGAATTTTCCATTCGACGAGGCGACAGCCGAGTTGAATGGGCCATTCCATCTTTCACCGAATGAAAATATTCTTACCATTGCACGAATAAAAACATTCATTATTTGTTTTATATAATACCAAAATAGACTAATATTAAAAGGTTTACTGTAAGCTCCCGCCATTTTGACGAGTCGTATTTGCATTAAATCCCATTTACTGAGTTTCGAATGTCGGGTTAAAATAAACTACTCCATTGCACTCTTATAGGAAATGGAATTTTCTATTCAATATCACGTGACCATAAACAGCCAATTAAACGATCAGAATTCAATACGGTATTATATAAAAAGTTATATTAAGAAATATATTAGTTGATTAGCTACCGTGTTAAAAAAATGTTTTAATAATAATAATTATTATAAATAATACTATAATCGAAACGAAATCGTCCCGGTTTGAATGCGTTCCGGTCTCGTGTAAACGGGGCATAAGATAAATACAAGGTCGCGCTGTTTCATAATTGGCTCCAGCTATTCTTGCTGCACGGTTCTGCATGGAAACGCTGGAGCTTGTCTTTCCATAAGGGAGGGCAATAGTCGGTCTGCTATATGTGTTATATTATTAAATCTATATCTTACTGAGGCTGTTTGAAAGGTATATTATTAGGAACAAAGGCTTAATAATTCGTTTTAGGATTCCTATACCTGCCTCAACTTTTTTACACATACCATTTCGATACGACTATGCTATGCAAGTATAAGCATTTCATTAAGCTCGACTCAGAGTCATTTAATCGATTTATATAACACGACGAATTCGTTAATTGTTGATCATAACAGGGTGATCACAATCTATACCTTGGTAAAACTGTGAGAAGACCCAAAAAACATGACTTTAGTTTTAGTATAGGACGAGTTTGTAACTTATTTCTTTTTACTGACCATGCACTTATATATTTTTTTAATCCCTATTAGATTATCGGTAAGTTCAGTAACATGAGAGGACGAGGAAATTTCAGTATCGTCTGCATATAAGCAAGGATCTGTATTATCTATAATTCGTAAAATAATGTTCCTTTTTAAACATCTATGAATGTTCATTGTATTCTATTTAGAGTAAAGATAAGACGAAAGACATTTCCAGAAAAAACAACTGCAAAGAATTACTTGACGATGACAGGTAATCTATTAAAACAATTTATATACCAAATTGAAACAGATCGATGGAAATATAGTAACTTAATTTATACGGCATCATTTCCCGTAGCTGACAAGATTTCCCCAGATATATATAGTTCATAATTACCCTTTTTCGACACACCCTGTATATCAACCAGATCTCTGACGCGAACTAAACATTATTTTACAGCTCCCTACAAAACGGCATCTACTATCTACAAGCAAAACCTTGCGCAGACAAATATCCAGTTTATTGTCACATGACTGAGATACCCAGTTGTGGGCCAGGAGGCTGGACACTAGTGATGAAAATAAACGGAGATTTGGTAAGAGATGTAACGAATTTTTGGTTCGTCGTTGCCATGCACATTGCATATTGCAAAGTTGTGTTATTTTACACACTTGTTAGCAAGAACGTACATTCCTTACAAAACATACAATCACCGACGATGCACTGTCATTTTTTGTCATAATACAGGACGAAGGCGTGTCGATTTTAAAAACAATTCTGCTCGGTTCCGTTAACAGTTGATATATCACATTATTTCCTGAGTTGTAAGCAAATACGGTTCATATAAAGAAACTAGTTTAATTAAATACTAGAAAATACATGTATGCAGAAACCCTCGCCTTGCTGACAAAACCATTGTATTTTCCGAACATGAAGTATCCAAACTTGTTGTCATGGTAACACGATAATTTTTTAAGAATATTCTAGCTTACAAATGAAAAATCGCCTAAATTACAAAATTATCAATTTCCCAACATATATATGTTAGGTATGTTATTATACGTTATATAAGCTTCAATTTTAAGGTAAAATTCAACCACAAAAGCTTCGCAAAACGTTTTAAAATGTTCTTTATAAAACTTATAAAACTATTAAAACTGCCTTTAATTATTAAAATGGCTTTATCGATAAACTTTGAGTTTGCAATAAAATGTTTTCAAATTCTCGCATGCAAATAACTTAGCTTTCTTTTTTATTTATTTATTTAAAAAATTCAATATAGGCCTAATAAAAAAGGAATCAATTAATATTATTAATACACTGAAATTATATGCTGTCTTGTTTAGTTGTTTCATATACGCAAAGCCAAAGGGCCAAAGCGGCCGTCGGGTTTTAAAGCAATTATAAAATCAATATTTAAAACAAACTTACCTTCGTTCACGTCGGCTCCCTTCTTTTAGCCGATTTTTTCGCCCTTTCTTTCCTGAAATTTACAAAATCTTGCAAAAATGCGAGCAAAAATTAAATATATTTGCAAGAAATTTATCAATCATCAAATCAAGAAATGTTTGCTATTTTGCTGTCGTCATACAGTCGACATGCAGTCGTTATGATGCAAACTTTAAATTGGACCAATCAGTGTCCCCTATTCATGACAGTCCGCTATATTTTTGAAATCAGTGAGGATGACCACCCACGAACCACCGAACCACTCACGGTAACCCACGCCCGCGCTCATTGATGAACTTTAGACTTGGCTAATGCTTTCGTTTCCCCGGGTGTAAATAGCCGGGGGGAATTAGTACCCTCGCACGGCGCTTGGCGCCGTCGGCTCGGGGACAAGTTTTGAATCAATTAATACTAAATGAGCTTCGAAACACGTTCAAGTCAACATGAGAATTTAAATCGTTTAAAAAAAAGTCGAAAACTAAATAAATATGCAGTCAAAACAAAACTTTTATGTAAAATATCTAGTCAAGTAATCCTTCAACCATACTGTTCTAAAACCGTTTATGATTCACTTTAAGTTTAATTAAAACAAGACAATAAAAAAATTAAAGAGAAGAATAATACAATTATACAGTATAGTATACAAATAATGAATGTTTATTCGTGCAATGGTAAGAATTAATATTTTCATTCGGTGAAAGATGGAATGTTCTATTCAAAGAGGCGACAGCCGAGTTGAATGGAACATTCCATCTTTCACCGAATGAAAATATTGAATTTCTTACCATTGCACGAATAAACATTCATACCAAAATAGACTAATAGATTCCTATGAGAAGCATTTTGACGGATGTGATTTATCGAAAACACAAAGAGTGCAACGGAATAAAACGTATAGTATACAATTGCACTCGCAAAGATTGCAATGGAACGTATTCCATTGCACTCTTGGGAAATGGAATTTTCTATTCAATATCACTTGAGCATAAACAGCCAATTAAACGATCAGAATTCAATAAGCTAGGTATTATACAGTATAATACTTTTTGTTTGTGGAAACAAATTTATTGCTGCATTTATTACTGCTATTTATCATTGCAGTAATAAATTTGCGTGGTGTTTCCACAAACAAAATGTATTTTATGTTTTATCGCCATGCAAACCTACAAAGAACTTAGTGATACACAATTGCTGTAGTTATAATGGCTATAACTTACCGTATTTACTCGTTTGAGCACCGCCCCCGATTGAGCGCCGCACCCGAATGAGCGCCGCATTTGAGATCGAATTTTTTTAAAGAGCGCCGCACTGAACAGTGCAAAAACTTTCCACCGTCAAAATGGGCACATTTAGTGACAAAAACATTTAAAACTTGTTTATTTTATTGTTAAAAGTTCTTCTTATAATTCAGAAATAAAAGTTTTTTTAAAGAGCGCCGCCCCCAATTGAGCGCCGCCCCCGAATGAGCGCCGCATCTGAAGCTCTGAAAATTTAAAGAGGGCCGCGGCGCTCAAACGAGTAAATACGGTATAGGATTGGATTATAAAACGATTACACCATTCGCTCTCGTGGTATACGCGGCTATCACATACCGTTTTATCACAAACGATTTAGTCAATCACTAATCTGAAACATTTGTTCAAATCATATCTTATACAACATCGTTCTTTTAAGACCACGTTCAACTACAATTCATCTTTGTGGACGAACAAGGAAAGTTATGCAGTTGAAGATGGACTTGAAGGACTAACAGAGAAAGAAAGTAAACTGGCCTCTTATTGGAACAGTCCTTTCAAGAAAATATGTCTTGGTATGACCGTCAATGGTGACAGAAAATGGATGATGTTAGATTACAAAGCAAGTTCGCTGTACAGTGTGATCGCAGACGGACAATACCGAAGCACAACCGCAGGACGACATGCGTGGAAGTCTATGATCGTGGGCTCGTCTTTACAAGCAAAGTGCAATAAAGAGGGATTCAGTATCTTTTACCAAAACCAAATTAGAATGCGCATTGGTTACTTGGCTAACAACGAGAATAGCTGTACACACTCCGATTCATGCATTGGGTTTGGTATTTCTTACAAAGCATGCTACCAGACAGAAATTGATATAACATGTGGTAATATTGTCATGTGTACAGGTAACGATAGACTGACTGCGGCATTTGGATACATTTTAGTTCAGTAACAGTGCAGACACTCAGTAGAACTGGAAATTTTTTTGACATTACGTATATAGAACGTTTGTCAAACACATACATAAAACTTGTAACCAATATGTAACTCGCGAAATTATTCAGCGCGCTGTGTATAGTTTCTTTATAATAGCAGTAAACTGACTATATATATACTATAGTGTAGCCTACTTATATATACTATATATATATATATATACTATATATATATATATATATATATATATATATATATATAATATTTATATATAGTATATATAATATATACACTATAGTATATATATACTATAGTGTATATTTCAAGACTACTATATGCTATAGAGTATTTATAAAATAACCTTTTAAAAACACGGGCGTTGATTAATTGGTCAAAATCTCAAAAAACCGTGTTTCTATTTAACAATTAGTCGCCGAAGGCGAGGTGATTACAAGCCTATATTCACTGAGCCGAAGGCGAAGTGAATATAGGCTTGTAATCACCGAGCCTGAGGCGACTAATTGTTTTAGTATAAATTTCCAGGTGTTTACAAATAATAACCCACACAACTTTATAAAAATTCACTTCAAATAAATTTATTTTCACTATAAATGTTTGTTTACAAAATTAAATCTCAGACACGGCTCTGTGTCGCGTTGCGACTAAGCCAGTTTTTTTCCAAATAAAAGCACGTAAAGTTTAATATTTTACCTTGAAATATTTTTAATATATATATATATATATATATATATATATATATATATATATATATATATATATATATATATATATATATATATATATATATATATATATATATATATATATATATATATATATATATATATATATATATAAATTCAGTCAAGGTTTGAATGTTTGCGTCGCTACTCTGAGTTTCACGCTTTACGCGATCATCAGGCAACTGACAGATATTATTCAATATTCATAATAAATATAGGTTATCATTTTACAACTTGATTAAGCAGGTATCTGGTTACATGTCCACATTTGGAAAACAAGTCAGAGCGTTTGTTCAGGCATTCAGTTTTCTTCGCTTTCATAATAAGTAGTTTCTCCTCGAGGCATAAATTACACCGTTTAGATCCTGGTTTGTATGCTTTGACTTTCTTCAGTTTCCACTAGACGTACTTGGACAGTTCGGTGTTGCTCTTGTATTCCTCATGTCGGAAAGACTTAGTGTGATTGCGGTATCTTGTTTTGAAATCGCCCGCCGTCATGCCAATGTATATTTTCTTTTCCTGGTTGTTGGCAGTGCTGGTTGTCACTTCGGCTTTGTATACGATGCTCTCAGTAAGACATTTTTTACCAAGTGGACAGTTGGCGGGGTTTTGGCAGTTGCATGCACATTGGCGTGTCGTTTTTTGTAGGTGTTGGTATTACCGTTGGTATGGATGATTGTATTACCCTAGCAGTTGGCGTTCGTTTTGTGTTTCGATTGAGTATTTTACGATTATGTTTACGGATGAGATTTTTCATGTTTGTCATGCAACTGTAACTAACACGGACTGTGTGGCGGTTGAAAAGTTTGTGCAGTTTGTTTGAGGGAGGAAAATGCTTGTCAATTAGGTTTAGGAATATCTGTGCTACATTAGTCTTAACGTTCTTGCTATAAGGGGGGTTGTACCATGCAATGTTTCGTTGTCTGTTTCGTTTATCGGAGTTATTAGTGTTGTTTTGATTTTGTGTGTACGTTAGGTTAACGTCAAAGTTGCTTTGCTTGAGAGCGTTGTTGTAAAGTGGTGCTGCTGCGTTGAATGCTTCTTCGTCACATGATAGTTTGTTAATGCGTTTGTTGACTGAGTGTGGAAGTTGTCGTGTGATGGAAGGTGGATGGTTTGATAATCTGTTTACGTACAGTGGTTCGTCATTAGGTTTTCGGTATGGTTTATATTTACCGTTT